GAGTGGGTATATTAAAGGCTTGGACCACACTGCAGCAATCTGAAGACACAGGGCCTTTGGGATATGCTTGGATCCTGAGGACTCTGATCTCATGGAAGGATTAATTCACTGTGGATTTATAACTTAGTGAGCGGTGGCGAGAGCTATAGACGATGGGACCTAGGTGGAGAATTTAGGTCATTTGTGGGCATGATTTTGTCTTTGAAGTATAGGTTTTGTCCCCAGCCCTTCCTCTCACACTTTTTTCTTTCTTGGCTGTCATGAGGTGAGCAGCCTCCTCCACAATGGGCTTCACACCGTGATATTCTCTCTCCTCACAGGCCCAGAAACAATGGAAGCAAGTGTACTGAAACTTCTGAAATTGGAAACCAAAATAAACCCTTTCTCTTTTAAGTTGCTTTCTCAGGTATTTTGTCACAGAGATAGAAAACTATTAACACATATATCATAGATGATGTTGATAAAATATAATTTCATATGGCTGTCTAAGGTCAAATTATGTGGATCTATTCTAATATATTCAGTGAGAATTATTACATTTATTATTGTTATTATTATTATTAATTATTGTCAGTCATAGGGCTTGAACTCTGTGCTTGGGTACTGTCCCTGAGCTCTTCAGCTCAAGGTGAGCGCTCTACCACTTGAGCCAAAGCGCCACTTCCAGTTTTCTGGTGGTTAATTGGAGATAAGAGTCTCACAGACCTTTCTGCCCCATCTGGCTTTGAACCATGATCCTCAGATCTCAGCCTCCTGAGTAGTGAGGATTACAGGCATGAGCCACCAGTGCCAGCTCATTTATTGTTATAATCAAGAAAAGCTCATCAACTTACTCATTCTGCTTTGTATTCATTTTTGATCATTATTTTTTCTTTTTTGTATGCTAGTACTGAAGCTTGAACTCAGGGCCTTGTGCTCACTTGACTTTTTTGTTTAAGGCTGCTGCTGTATCACTTGAACTATACCTCCATTTTTGGCTTTTTGTTGATTAAATGGAAATACCATTCTAGTGGACTTTTCTGCCTGAGCTGGCTTTGAACTGTGATCCTCAGATCTTAGCCTCTTTAATAGCTGGGATTATAAGTGTGAGCTACTAACACCCAGCCATGGTAATTTTCATAGGCTACATTTCTACACAAGTTATTACTGAACCAAAGGTCATTCACAGACATTTACCTCATATTGTTATTGACATTTACATTTTATTTTTCTTAATTTTATTTTTCTTAATTTTTGGAGGTTTTAAAATTTCAAGTGGTCACATCTGTTTTTTCTTTACCTTCAAATTCAGGGAAGACTTTCCTACATTAATCCAATATATTATTTCCCATATTTTCTTCTAATCATTATCATACTACTTATTTTCTCTACTTAAAAATATTTATTCTATCAAAATTTACTTGGCCACATAACACAAATAGGAGATTATTTTTGATATATGATTAATCAGTTTATTAATATTATTTAAAAACAGTCCATTTATTTTTATTGTTATTATAAAGGTGATAGAGGGGTTACAGTTACATAAGTCAGGTTGTGAATACATTTCCTTTTGACAGCATCACCTCTTCCTTGACTTTCTCCCAGGTTTTTTTTTTTTTGCCAGTCCTGGGGCTTGAACTTAGGGACTGGGCACTGTCCCTGAGCTTCTTTTTGCTCAAGGATAGCACACCACTTGAGCCTTAGCACCACTTCTGGCTTTTTCTGTTTATGTGGTACTAAGGAATCGAACCCAGGGCTTCATGCATGATAGGCAAGCACTCTACCAGTAAGCCATATTCCCAGACCTGTCTTATCCAGTTTTTCTCTCCTGTGCCCACACATACATTGTATAGTTCATTTTCAGCATAGTGTCTTCTGCATTTGTTCACCCTATGTCCTTCTATTTCTGTGCTCCCCCTTGCCCTCCTAAAGACAGACAAATGAACAAGTAAAACAAAATGAAAACAAAAACAACCATAAAGAAAATACCTTTTGTTTCCATCATCTGGAGTTAAGAATCCATTCTTTAACCTTAAATTGGTAATTCTATCTTTGCCATAACCTAAACTCATGAATTTGTTGTGACCTAGTGCTCCTCATTCCTGAACTGTACTGTTGTGATGATAATATTTTTCTTTTTGTTTCACTGTCTGGTAGTACAATGTCCTCTTTGATTGTTTTAAGGAATTATTCTCTATAGAAAGAATAAATTATTCTATTTACTAGGTAAATTTCAGACTAATTGTATAAAGAACTTTGTTTACACTTCCGGTTCTGTTAGGATTTTTGTTAGAATTGCAACACATTTATGAAATTATTTGTAGAGAGTAAACATTTGGTTGGGAGAATATGATAAAAGTTCTTTTAGCTAATCTTTTTTTGTCACTCAGTAAAGCATGGTAGATTTTTTTGGGGAGGATGATTATAATGTTCTTATATTTATTCATAGATACTTTATTTATATTGTTCTCTTGAATAGGATCTTCTCAGCAGGTGTTTAATTGTTTCATTATACAACTTAACACACATTTATTTTTAGAAAATTTAGATAATAGAGGACATTTTATTTATTTTATTTAATTTTTGCTGGTACTAAGCCTTGAACTCAGGTCCTTGAGCTCTCACTGGACTTTTTCACTTGTGGCTGACTCTACCACTTTAGTCACACTTCCACTTCCTGATTTTTGCTGTTAATTGGAGATAAATCCTGAGGATTTGTCTGCGTGGGCTGGCTTTGACCAGAGATTCTCATATTTCAGCCTGCTGAGTAGCAAGGGTTATGCCCAGCTATATAAATGTATTGAAAAAAACATGACCCACCATCAGACTGATAGCCACTGTTAGTATTTTCTGTGTGTCCATCCTTCTGTTGATAGATTTAGAGTCTAACTAGGGAAGTAAGATATAATCTTACTTGATATTGCAAAGCACTGTTGGGTGACTAACTTATACTCTTTGTCTGGCCAGCATTTTCCTTTTTCCTTTTGGGAAGATGTGTAACCCTGGGAATCTTTTCTTGGAAGAATCTTTCTTCTAGGACCTGGAATGACTCTAATCCCAAGAGTCCTTGAATTTGAATATACTTATTTAGGACATGGTGATTTTTTTTTTTTTTTGGATGCTGGTTCTTGGGCTTGAAGTCAGGGCATGGGTACTGTCTCAAGCTTTTTATGCTCAAGACTAGCACTCTACCTCTTGAGCCACAGTATCAATTCTGGCTTTTTGGTAGTTAATTGGAGATCGTCTTACAGACTATCAAAGCCTGGTTGGCTTTAAACAGCAGTCCTCAGATCTCAACCTGCTGAGTAGCTACGATTACAGGTGTCATGCCTGTAATCCACTGATGCTTGCCATTAATACCTGGCAAGAGGAGCAGGGTGATTTAATGGATTCTAGCTGGGTGCCAGTGACTCAGGCCTGTAATCCTAGCTACTCCAGACACTGAGATCTGGAAAGTTTCAGTTCAAAGCCAGCTCGGGCAGAAAAGTCCACTAGACTCCCTCTCCAACAATAACAAGGATGAAGCAGGTTGAAGGAGTGGCTTGAGTGGTGGAACACCAGCTGAGAAAATAAACTGAGCAAGCTCAAGTTCAAACTCTGGTACCACCAAAACAAATAAAATTAATTCCTGGCTGGATATGTGGCTCAATGTAGAGAGCTTGCCTAGCTAGCCAGAACCTCTTAAGTTTAAACACTCTATCAAAAAGGATTCCTGATACCATTTGAACCTCCTGTTCTAGCTGACTTAAAGCCAGGTTAAATTCACTCATAGGTGTTTTAGTTACTCAGGCCAATAAATGCTATATTTTCCTTAAGTGAGGTTGACTCAGCTTTCTGTCACTTACAAAGTCTCAGCTCCCATGCCATGCACTGGGGTGGCCCTTGAATGAGTTAGTTCCCTACATGTGCTGGCTCCTAGAGGCAAGCAGATGTTCCACAGTGAGATCAGCTCCAAATGCACTTTGACTTTTATCTCCTTTGAGATTAAGAAGGATGACTCTTAGAGACAATGGCAGCAATGGGGTAGGGCATGCAGCCACCCTTGAGTTACAACCCAGCCTCCTGACCACAGCTACTTATATGGTGGGTCCATCAAAATGGCAGAGTCTGAGTGTAGGGAGGTAGGATTACAGTGAAGGTGGTAAAGCCACCTGCCTTGGAGACCCGCCTGCATCCATTATCCAGTTAAATAGCATGGGAAATGCAGCTTATGGTAATGAATAAGCCAGCCTAGGCTGGCTGACTAGAATACAGAGAGAGAAAGAGAGAGAGAGAGAGAGTGATATTATAATACTCTTGCTTATTTACCTTCACAAAATTACTTCCGTGTGTTTTCTGTGCAGCACCATTGCTTCCTGTTGCGGTAGATTGGTGGTCACTAGGGCTCGCTTAGGTCATCTGTAGCCGTAGGGGATGTGCATGCCAGGGCACCCATATAATTTGAGTGTTCTCTGAATTCAATATCAGGTTAGGCGTAAATATATTTATTTAGGATGAAAAAAAGAAATTGCAACAAATTACTGAAGGCTCCAGAGAGCCAGCTGTGAAATTCCTTTAGTTGGCTCACAAGATCCTCCTGCTTAGACATGTTCCCTGGCTGTAACTTGAGGCATTCACAGGACTTTGGCAAGTGGAACAGGGTGGGGGGCTGTGCCTTGAGATTTCAGGGTAAACCCACTTCTGGAGGGCAGACTAGCAATTTTTCCCCCTGTTTTCTGTTTGATATTTTAGGGACCAATCAGCAAGAAGCTGGCCAGCGTACATCATTAAATCCTTGGAAAGTTTAAATTAAGGTTCAGGATTCAATCAGAAAGAATATTATTTTGATGTGTGTGTGTGTGTGTGTGTGTGTGTGTGTGTGTGTGTGTGTGTGTGTGAGAGAGAGAGAGAGAGAGAGAGAGAAAGAGAGAGAGAGAGAGAGAGGGTTGGAGAAGAGGCAGAGGCGTGGGGAGCAGAGCCCGCCTGCTTCCTGAGTGCAGCCTTGCTCAAGTGCTCTCTGAATGTGGTTTTCCTCCTAGGCCAGCATCCAGCCCAGAATAGTGCAGCTGACTTATGATTGAAGTCTGCAGCTCTGGAGAAGCACGAGAAACCAAGGGCTTTACAGTAAGTACATAGTTGGTTGTTGTTTAAGCCTTGTAAGTCTCAGAAGACAGCTCTGTCTGGGGGATGAGGTCTTGCTGCATTAGGCACAATGTCTGATGTACTCTGTGGACCTGCCTATCACTAAGGCAGCATCATTATATTTTCTTGCAGTGCATGGCTTGGTTAATGCTATGTGTGTACTTTAGATGCTAAAAATGGATTTGAAACTTATTTCTGACATCTTTGAAAAAGTCTTTTCTCTCTATTTTTTGGCTTTTTAAATTTTGATCTTGCAAAGTCAGGATGATTCATGCTGACTTCAAGTTAGTGTATGAAGTTATTTGGAAGAGAAGCTTTCTCTCTGGGTACTAATTTCTAGTGGTGTGGAGATATGTTTTCATAAGCAAGGTGAATAAGGTTGGTCTGTGCATTCCTTTTGCCAAGTGTGAGAAGTCTAAAGTCCTGGGGGGGAAAACCACCCACTGGACTGGCTCTCTGCCCATTCCATGGCCTGAAAGCCCTGACAGAGACAAACATGTGGAGTGTATCCTGTTATCTGAGGGTCTGACACTAACCTAGTACTCAACATTTGAGCTATACATCTTCCTAGGATATGAAATTAGATGCCTAAGAAGCCCCCAGATGGCTGTATTTCAAAGAAATGGTATGAAGTTATGTGTCGTGTGTTGCTGTTTAGACAGAATCTTCTACTCCTCCAATGGCCCAAGACTCTTTGACATATCTTCCTAGCTACTTTAGATTTCTATTCTGTGTTCTAGAAATGAAGTTTTTGGTTTTGATTTCCTTTTCCCATAGACTTTTAATTTCTTATTGGAGGAATCTAATTCAGTAAAGCAGGAAGTTTATATTTTAATTTCACTTGGAAAGTGTAATTCCCCCCACCCTGCCCCCAGTACTTTTCTCAAAAGAAGGTAGAGACACATCTTTGTTGCTCCTACTGGATTTCTCATGAACATGGCTCCTTTGTTCCTTCACAACTCCATTCCAGACTCCATATTCTCACACAGTTCTTTTTCAGAGTAGTTGTGTTTCACTTCCTTTTATCTTTCTTTGCCAAGTGAGTTAATACATCCAGTGTTGTCCAAACAGAGAAGCCTTCGAACATGGGGGAAGAGAAAGCCATGTTAGACTTCCATTTGAAACCCTGGAATTTGAAATTAAACCATTATAACTTTTTTTAAAAACTCATTTCAATTTTATTTTAAAAATAGGTTAATTTTTTAAAGGATAAAAACAACATTTTTGAGGGCTCACCATGGACAGGCTCAGCAATGAAGCTCATTTGTATTATTTCACCAGATTCTTACACTAAGTCCATGAAAGTGGCTACCTTTATGGCCTTTATAAGTGAGGAAATGGATGCATGGAGAAGTTATGTGCATTGGCCCATAGGAGGGCAGAAAAGAGAGTAGTTAGGAGGAGAGTGGTGCAGGACATGAAGTCTGGTCTCTCTCAGTCCAGAGGTTGTGCTTTCATATGAAGTTGTTAGCCAAATTTCAAGTTAGAGAAACCAGTGCCCAACCCCTATCTGAAAAACCACAAGGTTTCTATACTTCTTTCTACCTGTAAAACTGGATATTCTAACATAAACATTTTTAAATGTTATCCTACTTTCATAATTACTTTAAATATTACTTTTAACTATCTGTTCTTAAAAAGTAGAGTACTTTCCTTTTCTCCCTTCCCTTATTTCCTCTCCCCTTCTTTAAAACCACGAGTCAAGATAAACATTTCTTTCCTTAAGTTGTTTATGTCAGGTATTTTTTCCTAGTCATGAAAAAGGTGGCTAAGAATTGTGCCATATTTTTTAGCAGTTATTTTTCCCAGTCTCTGTTGACTTTTTAAAAATGAGTTTTTAGGGCTAAGGATATAACCCAGTTGTAGGTATAGTGCTTGCCTAGTGTACACAAGGCTCTGTGTTCAATCACTCATACTATAAAAAAAACAAAGTGAGTTTTTTTGAAAATTATGTAGCCATTTGACGTATATGTGTGTGCATGCACGCACATGTGCCAGTTCTGGGACACTGTTCCTGAGCTTCTTTTTGTTCAAGGCTAGAGCTCTACCACTGGAGCCACATCTTCACTTCAACGATTTTACTGGTTAATTGGAGATAAAGAGTTTTATGGACTTTCTCAGGCTAGCTGTGAACTGTGATCCCCAGATCTCAGCCTCCTGAGTAGCTAGGATTACAGGAGTGAGCATGTTGGCCCATTTGACATTTTTCCTCGATTAAATCTGCCTGCCCTTTTTCTGACTTTTCTTAATTTAGAGATCTAAATTTTCTTCTTTTAAAGGATTTTTTTCTTTCTAGAATTTTCTTTGGTGAATGTAGAGAGTCGTTTTAAACTAGCTTTTAAAAAATAATGTTATTTTCCTGGCATCGTTTGTAAGCAGCCCTTGTATTATTTAATATTCAGCTGTAATCTATACACTCAACTCTCCTGTATGACTTTTCTGGATTACCTGTTTTATATGTAGAAACTGTGCCTTCTGTGCCACCATTACATTTCTGTGGTCTGGTTGTTTTTGTTGCTTTTGTAATATATTGGGAAGATGAATTATATGGAGGAATATTGAGCCAGAATAAGGCATTAGTAAAGATTGAGCATAGGAAGCAGATTGCTCAGCCATAATTAACTTCTCTGTTTCTTAGTCCTACTGTCTGTAAAATGGGGACAGTAATGGGGTGTCTTTTTTATGGTGTTTTCAGGTGAGGAAATAAAAACTAAATTATAATACATGCATACCCATACACCTACACACTCACACACACACACATATAGAAAAAGTATCATATTTATAGATGTATGTATAGTATTTGAAATACTATATTATGTATTTTATATATGAATGTACATTATATATAAAATATATAAATGCATGTGAACATATGTGCTATATATTATGTACTTAACTCAAATATGTTATTCTTTTCTTTCATGGCTTAAAGCCTGTTATTTATTTATTTTTATTTTGCAGCACTAAGTTTTGAACTTGGGGCCTTGTGCTTGTTAGGTAGGTGCTTTACCATACCCCAGGTCTCATGTAATCTTAGGAGATAGGGAAGATTGTCTTAGTCATAAAGGGAAAGAATGACACATTTGCCTTTGTGCACACTAAAACTTGATACACTCTAAAGATAGGCATGTGGCAGTTACAGAGAAATAAATACAGCACATGTACCACAAAGGTTGCTTTCTATCATAAATGAAGAATGCTCACAAGACAGAGAAATCACAAAATGGGCAAAGGTTATAAATGGGCTGTTCCTAGAAGAACTATAGATGGCTAGCTGGGCATTGGTGGCCCATGCCTGTAAATCCTGGCTACTTCTGAGGATCATGGTTCAAAGCCAGCCTGGGCAGGAAAGTCCGTGAGACTCTTATCTCAAATTAACTACCAGATAACTGGTGGTGTTGTGGCTCAAGTAGTAAGAGTGCTACCCTTGAGCTGAAGAGCTCAGGGACAGTGCCCTAGCACAGAGTTCAAGCCCCATGACTGACCAAAAAGAAAGAAAGACAGAAAGAAAGAAATATAGATGGCCAACAAATATATAATGTTTAATCTCAATAATAATGATGGAACTGCAAATTTAAGTAGTAACCAGAGTATCATTTCCCATGCAATAGATTGGCACGAAGTTGGTAACAGAAATAACACCCAGTATGAAGAGGACATGTGGGGGCGAGCATGAGCAATCCCAGTGATAGGGAACAAAAATTAGTAAAGGTTTTTGCATGACAAATTTATAAAATCTATCAAAATGGTATGACTTAGAAAATACTACATATATTTTGATATTTGTTTAAATTTTTAAAATTTATTTTAAGAAACCTTAACTATATATTTTATTTTTGACAGTTTTCTATGTAATAATAATATTGTCACATCGCAAGAAAAATCAACAATTCTTAAACCACATATTTTAATGTGTTATCAAGCTGTTTACTGGGTTCCTTCTGAAGAAGTTAGAGCCATGGCAAGGTTGCTTTTTTCTTTTGTTAGCTATACATCTGTGATAGTTTTAAAAAATCTGTATCTGTATATTTGTGTAACATAAATAAACAAACATTTGTCCAGACTCACAGGCAAAAAGATTCTTGGGAACAGGATCCTAGATGTAGAATCTCAGGATTGGGAAGTAGATGACAAATTTTAGGAAGAGTGAATATTTTGGAGGCAATGGTTTAAGATTACTAAAAGTTTTAATTGGGTTTTAACAAAAGGAGCCAAGGCCCACATCTCTAATCCTAGCAACTCAGGAGCCTGAGATCTGAGGATCACAGTTTAAAGCCAGCTCAGGCAGGAAAGCCCAAGTCTTATCTTCAATAAACTACCAAAAAAGCCAGAAGTAGAGCTGTCCATCAAATGTTGAACAAAACAGCTCAGGGACAGTTCCCAGGACCTGAGTTCAAGCCCCAGTACTAGAAATAAGGGAAGGAAAGAAGGAAAGAAATTAGGAAGGGAGGGAGGAAGGAAGGGAAGAAGGAAGGAAGGAAGGATGGAAGAAGAGAGAGAGAAGGGAGAGAGAAACAAAGAACTTGAGGAAACTCAGTCCAAAAGGCTACAGGAAAAGTTGTAGTGCCGTGGACTTGACTTTGCTAAGCTCTGCCCATTTGTGTGGTGACCCTATCTGCAGGACTCAGATACCCCTAGAGATCATGCTTCCCCCAGCCTTCTCATCCTATGTTGTTTTCATCTCTGTTGTGTTTGGTGGTTGTTTTTGTCTATGTGTGCCAGTCCTGAAGCTTGAACTCAGAGCCTGGTCACTGTCCCTGAACTTTTTTGCACAAGGCTAGCACTCTACCACTTGTTAAGTTCCATTTCCAGCTTTTTTTTTTTTTTTTTTTTTTTGGTAGTTGGATATAGAAGTCTCACAGGCTTTCCTGCCTGGGCTGACTTTGAACCATGTTCCTCAGATCTCAGCCTCCTGAACAGCTAGGATTACAGATGTGGGCCACCACTGTCAGCCTTATCTCTATTTTTAACAGGTGTCA